TAAAATAAATTTTAAAAGTGAATTATTATAAGGGTTTTTAAAAATAAGCTTTAATATCGGGATGCCTGGGTGGCTCAGTCGGTTAAACGTCTCCCTTTGGCTCGGGTCATGATTCCAGGGTCCTGGGATCGAGTCCCACATCCGGCTCCTTGCTCAGTGAGGAGCCTGCTTCTCCCTCTCCCTCTGCCTGCCGCTCCCTCTGCTTGTGTGCTCTCTCTCTGACAAATAAATAAAAATCTTATTAAAAAAATAAGCTTTAATATCAATAATGTATTTGTGTAAACAAAAATTTAATTTTCCTTCATTTGCTACAAAGAGTATTTTCTTGAACTGCTGGTCTGCTCCTGATAAATTTTTCTTTACCTTTTTAAGTAATCTGCCTAGAAAACAAAAGATTCTGTTTCGTCAAAATAATTTCCTGTGCTTCATGTTATCTTTATCAAGTCAGTCATTATAGAAAACAGAGTCTTCTCTATTAAGAGCTAAAGTTTTTTTGTTTGTTTTTTTTACAACTATGTAACTTGCCATATTTGCTTGCAAAGTCTTTGTCACTTCGATTAAATGGACAACTAAGTATTGTTTCACAATGACCTGTGATCCTATTTAATCAAGGGGTTTCAACCTTTTTGTTATTTTTGACAACCTTCGCCAGAAACTACACTCAGCATCTCAATACCAAACAGCCATAGCTTTGTGGACTATGTGAGCATATGAGCTTTCTCTTCATTTATTTTGTGGATCCGATGGCAAAATGTGTCCTAAGGTATCAGAAAAGTTTAAGAGAGGTTATTTTTTAGGTCTGAGAATGCTCAAAAACTTTTCCATATAAACAAATGGTAACTGCTTTTTTGCTTTACACCACTTTGGTCTATGGGGTGCCTGGGTGGCTCAGTCGGTTAAGCATCTGCCTCAGGTCATGATCCCAGGGTCCTGGGATAGAGCCCTGAATGGGGCTCCCTGCTCAGCGGGGAGCCTGCTTATCCCTCTCCTCCCTGCTTGTGCTCTCTCTTGCTATCTCTGTCTCTCTCCCTCAAATAATTAAATAAATAAAATCTTAAAAAAAAAAGGAACGCTCTACTTTCAGATAGTGGGGTTAACCTGTATGGTATGTTAAATTATGTGGGAAGCAGTGTCAAATATGAAATAATGCTAAACCTTCTTTATGCATATCCTTGTATGGAAATATAAGTGTTCAAGAAACTATATGAAATTCCTAAAATTCTGATATATTATCAATCTTAATTCCAATTATCATTTTGAAAAGTTATTTTAAAATGTTATGTGTCACTTGGGGTGCCAGGGCTCAGTCGGTTAAGTGACTCTTGGTTTCAGCTCGGGTCATGATCTCAGGGTTGTGAGACTGGCCCCATGTTGGGCTCTGGGTGTGGAGTCTGCTTGGGATTCTCTCTCTCTCTCTCTGCCCCTCCCCCTCTCTAAAAAATGTTATGTGTCACAAAAATACCAAATTTCCTTGCCAAATGCATTATAATGAACTCTCAGGATCTTTAACTATGGACATTTTTAAGTCTTTTGTCATTTAGAGTTGTTTGCAAATGTGTTTCATCTTCAGAAATTCATGTAAAGGACACTGATAAGTACTCTAGAATACAGGTTCTGATAACTTTTAGATCATACCACTGAACTGGGTAAGAACTGACAGGACACTAATAGAGAAACTGATGGTTTCATAAAACTGTTAACAAAAAATCAACAAGAATTCCATGGGACTGAATGAACTGATGAGGATGATTACAATTTTTATGACTTTTTGCATGAAACATTGTTGGTTCTTTAATGTTGTTTTTTTCATTTTAAAAAACCTCTTTTCTTAAGCTACCTCTGACTTTTAGCAATTTGGTAAAGTATCCTTTAGAGAACACAGATGAAACAATTACTTTTTCTCCCTACCTGATCCCTCCAGAACTAAAAAATGTCAGTGAATCTTATTTTCGTGGGAATATAATTATCTGCATAATCCGTTCATCTTGTAACCGGACACAAAGGGAAACATTGGTTATATTACCCAGACTTTCAGTGGAATGTCATATTTGAGAAAGACATACATAGATATAATAGTTAAGGAACTAAGGTTGACTTTATGGAGCCAATAAAGCCCCTTGAAAAATCAGCCTGCTACCTTGCTTACAGAGTTCCCAATAGCCTTCCTAAGGAAGGTCACTTCCTGGCAAGCCCAGGAACCTCAGGGTGTTTTAGGAACCTCAAGAGAGGAATTCACCTAAATTTATAGGTATTGCAGGCAAGACCTACTGGCAGGTTTCTGGATTGGCTTCCTGGCCTTGAGAGGCTTTTATAAATTCAATTTGAGATTCCTTATGAAAAGTTCCAGAAAAGCAGACTTAAAAGTCTATATGGTCAATTCTTGCTGCAATGATGTAAATTCTTACTGCAATTATGTAAATAATCAGCCAAATTTAATGAGATTAAACTTATTTTACAAATTAGCCTTACTTCGACTATCTCTGATAGAAATGGGGGTGATGGTGAGACAAAGAATGTTTTAGTAATATACCTTTGTGGATATCAGATTCTGTCGCTGTTATTTGTCTTTGAGGTTTTGTTTTCCACCTCTAAACTGAACTAGATCCTGAATTCTTCTAGTTTCCTCCAATATTTGGCTACAACTCTCCAAACTAACATTTCCAAGTGTTATCCCACCCTTCTGACTTGGAAACACTGAGAACTAAAATTGCCCTTTCCCAAAGCCATGCAAGCTGAAGTGGGACTTGATATAAACTTAAGAGAAATCACCACAATAGTTCGTGTATAGACAATTTTTGTGCCTGTTACTGTGTGGGCCACTCAGAAAAGATCGCCAGAGACATTCAAACTGCAAACCAGGAAAATCTAAGATTGCCACCTTCTGCCCTCACTCCATCTGAAGATGCTTTGAGCCTGACATCTAGAAATCTTCTCAACTGGCTGCCTTCAGAACTCAGAAACTGGGATTATAATCTCCTCCAAACATTAACCTTTGTTTTTATTTTTGTTTCCATAGACATACCTCTTATTAAATGCCTGAAGCAAATACTTCCACCATGTAGGCCTGTTAAAAAAGAGACAGCAGGCCCAAAATGGAGTCACTTATACTAAGCCCATGTCACCAAACCAAGACTGAATACCTAATCTCAGTTTTAGCCCCTCCCAGTCTGTAATCTTAACCTGTCAGTCTGGAATTTCCTGGTCAGCATTAGTGCCCTGCCTTCCCCCAAAGAAAGGTGGCCTTGCTTGGAACAATCCACTCTTTGACAGTAACTTTCTTGTCATGCCCCCTTCTGCCTCTAAAAGTCTTTCATTTTGTACAGCTCTTAGGAGTTTCTTTTTGTTAGATGGGATGCTGCCCAATTCATAATCTTTGAATAAAGCCAGTAAGATCTTTACATTTATTCAGTGTTTTTTTTTTTTTTTAAACAGGCTTAACTTGGGGAACCCACCTGCATGACCACCTTCTGAAATGAGACACAACCTTTTAATTACTCTCAGGATTAAGAAACTGGTTCCATTGAATATGAAACAATCTAGCAACTCAGGACAGGCTCAAACCTACTTATACCATATGGCTGAAGATGTTAAAATATTTCACAATATTACCCAAATCCTTGAACAGATTTCCAGGGCTAGCTAAATAGTCAGGATCACTGACCTATTTTCATGGCTGGACCCTTTCAAGTTTGGGACAATAGCTGGAGACTGGATTTCAAACTATGGCCTGTATAATTATTTATATAAATATAACTTTTAACATACCAGCTATCCAGGTAGTTAATGTCCTCATCATTGACTCTGGCATCACAGGGTAGATTATTATGTAAACCCTGACAGTTGTTCTCCCCCACCCCTTTTTCATAAGGGAGATGCCTGATTTAAGCTTGGATTGCTGAGGCATCTGCTCCAAGATGACTATCTTGAATAAACACATAGCCAGCCAAATGACTAGATAAAGTGCCAGACCACCTCCCCCAGCTAAGACTCCTTTGTTTTAGAGTTCTTGGTTGATTTCAATAACTGGCCATTTTTTGGGTGCTTGGTTTTTTGTTTTCCATTTTCTCTCTTCCTGTACTTTAAATTCCCACTTTTTTTTTTTTTTTAAACGATTTTATTTGATTGAGAGAGGGGACGGGGGGCGGGGCGGACGGGGAGAAGAGAGGGAGAAGCAGACTCCCAACTGATCAGGGAGCCCCCTACAGGGCTCAATCCCAGGATCCCGAGATCATGACCTAAGTCAAAGCAGACACTTAACCAACTGAGCCACCCAGGCTGCCCCTCCTGCTCTTCTTTTTTAAATTCACTGATGAAACTCTTGATCGCCACCCTCAATCCCAGTAAAAGCAGAACCCCGGGCCTGTTCTAGCTTGCTCCCTCTCTACCTATAACTATGCTGTGTGCCCAACTGGTTTGTCTTGTAAGCTCCAGGGCTTGTAAGGAATAAACTTTTTTTTTTCTTTCAAAGTTTCCTGCGAGTCACTGCTAAAGGGTGTCCTGCAATCATACTAAGAACCATAAGAACACTGGTTTGAAAAGAGATGTCTGTGGGAAGCTCACTGGAGCCCAGGTGAGTGCCCCCAAACATTTCTAACCCTAGCATTACGATCGCTAGGCTGAGATAGCACAAAACACATCCATACCAATTAAATTAGGATGTCTGGTAGTAGAAGCAAAATACCAATGCTACTTAAATATTATTTTATTTATTATTTTAAAGCATTATTACTAATAGACCAAGAGAGCACAAAACAGGGTGTGACCTGGGCACTGTGATTTTTAAAAGCTCTCCAGGCAGTTCTAGTACGTAGCAGAGATTGGAAACAACTGACCTAAAGTAAATAAGATACTTATGGAAACACCAGTAATTCATGATTTAAATATGAGAAACATAGGTTATACAGTTGAGTAAGCACTGGACTGTATTAAAAAAGGTCAACAATTAACATTCACCTTGAGAAAAGTGGCAGGCAACTAAGAATGACAGAAGTTACTGGAAAGAAAACAATGAATAAAAAATCTGAGTAATCAAGACATTAATTCCTTATAAATTTCACTCACTGAAAACTGGAAGAATGTGTAACTTTAAACATTTGTAAGTTAAAACCATAACATGTCAGAAATCACCTTGCTTGAAAGGAAGTGGTTTTTGTGTTGCACTGGAACAGATAATGCCAGAATAAAAATAGTAAACACATTTTCTCACACACATACACATACACCCACATCCACCCCCACCCCCACCACGGAAGTACCACGCTAGATGCAAATAGCAGAAATGTAGTTTGAATAGGAAGCAGTGATTTAAGTCCAGCAAACATTTTACTGAGTAAACAAACACAAAACCCAATATGCAAACTTCAACAGATAATGAAGCTGCTGAAGTGTTCAATTTATGTATTATGCTGGGGAAAGCAAGAGCTTTTTAAAGATGGAATAATGAAATACACTCGCTGCCAAAAACCCCCCTTCCCGAATAAGGATTACACTGTTTTGAAGTCTTATCTGTAGCACTTCAAATGATCCAAACTGCACAAGCCTTCAATAACTGTAATTATTCATCTAGCGAAAATGCCGTTTTCCCACAAGAAAATTCCTTAGGGGACCATACCGGGGCCTTACGTCTCAGTGAGCATGCGTTTGTTTCACCGAATTTGGGTCCAACGTCACCACCAGCCACTGCTATAGCATAAAACCAATAGCCAAAATATCAAAAGTCTGAAAACAGCGATACCGAACGGTTCTAAATCCTCTTACCAATGTAGCAAGCACCTGGAAAAACTGCCAACCACGGACGCCAAAGATGCCGGGCTCGCTGTCCACTGGAAGATGAAGGGGTCCTGAATATCTGCCCCCTTTCCGGGACAGGACCAGTCGGTTTCGAGAGCTTTATTCCCCGTGCTGCCGAAGAAACGGACCAGAGGTCACGGACGACCCTTCACTGGGGAGCTGTCCGCACTACCCCACCGGTCTAGAGAGGTTTTGCGCGCTCAGCGGCCAGCCCTCAGAATGTAGGTTAGACAGCGCGCGCAGCAAAAAAAAGCCGTTGACGCGCCTGCGCACTGCTGCCCTTCCGTCCTCCGCTCCGCCCACTGAGAAAAAACCGTCACCCCGGAGCCGCCACTTCCGCGGGCGCGTGCGCAGTGGCGAGTCGGGCGCGTGCGCAACCCCCGATTCTTCCAGGCTGGAGCTTCTGCAGCTCACGCTCCTCCTCCCGCTCCCCACCCCCCAGCCAGCCGCGGCCCGGTACCAGCGTGTGGTCCCGCGAGGGGAGCGGTCGGTACCTCGTGCTCACGAGACGGCCGTGGTCCGCGCTCGTGGCGCGTGGCACTGGCCATGGCGATGGATCAAGTGAACGCGTTGTGTGAGCAGCTGGTGAAAGCGGTGACGGTCATGATGGACCCCAGCTCCACCCAGCGCTATCGGCTGGAAGCCCTCAAGGTAGACGGGGTCTGGCGCCCCGGGCCTGCCCCAAGACCCTCCCCCCAACTCCAGCGGTCCCCCCGCAGCCCAAAGCCCTGCTGGTTTCCCGCCCACGCAGCCCTTGGACCTCCTACCGCAACCCCGGGGGGCCTTAGCCTTTCCCCTCCCCGCCCTCCGCGCCTCTTCTCACTCCGGGCTTTCTCTGCTAACTGCGCCTCCCCTTCTCTCGGGACTCTCCGGTTCCTTGCTGCTTCTCATTTTATTACCACTTCCCACTGCCCTCTCCTCTCCTTTCCCCACTTCTGTTCAGTCTTGCCCGCACCACAGCCGGATGCTTCTATTTTATTACCCCAAGCCCCACATCCCCTAGGCTTCCCGTGGCGCACGTGCCCATCACGTCCCCAACACCAGCTACATTCTTGACAGTCTCCCCTGCATTAAACGTTTCCTTGCACCCTCCTGACCCGTCCTAGTCGAGCTCCAGCCCCCCTAATGCCACTTTATTTACATTCTTACACCTCTCACTAATCCTCTTCTGTGTCTTGGGTTATTTCTGGGCTAATTCTCCCACACCCTCCCCCCATGTTCTTTTACTGTGTTCTATTCTCAGGCTATTTTGCGCAAAGATGAACTTCTGCCACTTACTTTGCATTTTAACAAGGGCACTTTGGTTTCCTGAAAGTAGTTTTCTTGAATCCGGATGCTCAGCTCCTGGGACTGACTCTTGTGTTGCAGTTTGGGAATGCTAATACAAATTGGGATGCTAATAAAATGTGAACTTATTCCCACATCAAACTATGTGTGTAGGATGTGAGAGATGACCATTAGGAAAAACACCTGTGCATATATATTTTTTAAAGTTTTTATTCAGGGGCGCCTGGGTGGCTCAGTTGGTTAAGCGACTGCCTTCGGCTCAGGTCATGATCCTGGAGTCCCTGGATCGAGTCCCGCATCGAGTCCCGCATCGGGCTCCCTGCTCGGCAGGGCGCCTGCTTCTCCCTCTGACCCTCCTCCCTCTCATGCTCTCTCTCATTCTCTCTGTCTCAAATAAATAAATAAAATCTTTAAAAAAAATAAATAAAAAAAATAAAGTTTTTATTCAGTTAAGTGCTGTGTATGTTTTAAATGATGTAACTTTATAGAGTGAACATCATTTGGGGAAAACTTTACTTTTAAAAACATACAGATGTCTGCCACAGGATTTGGAATGAGAAACAGTTGGGTTCTATTAGTTTGGTTTTTTGCTATAAAATATTAAAAATATACACGAAAGTAAAGGGAATAATACTACAATGATCTTGTATATACCCCTCACCTAAATTCAGGAGTTATAAAGATTTTGCCACATTTGCTTTATTCCTTCCCCCCACCTAACTTTTTTTAAAGCAAATCCTAGAAATTGTCATTTCATTCCTATATACTTCAGGGGTATATCTCTAACAAATGATTTTTTACTCCTTTAGGTCAGACTTTTTTCAACATTATTTGGCCATAGCATGGAAAATTTATAACTATCAAAGTGAAAGGAATGTTTATCAGTTCTTTACTCATATACTATTGGTCTAGATTCTGCAGTTTAAAAATATAGCTCAGGTTGGAGTTCCGTAAGATAAGTTTTTAAATTTTTTAATCCCCACTCTCTCTTGCCTCCTAAGGGAAATACTAACTTTTTTTGTTTCAGTTTTGTGAAGAGTTTAAAGAAAAGTGCCCTATCTGTGTCCCCTGTGGCTTGAGGTTGGCTGAGAAAACACAAATTGCCATCGTCAGACATTTTGGCCTTCAAATCCTGGAACACGTTGTCAAGTAAGGAGCTTTTGGACAGTACCACCGAAGTCTGTGAGAGAGCAAATCTTTATTTCTTATATAACTCATAGAGATAATCTTTAGGTGAGTAGAAAAGAACAATCTCCAAGAAGAAAGGAGTGATCCCCAAGAGATTATCACAGCCTCAAGAGTACTCTTATTTAAGACTTAACCTTCCTCTTTTTCAGTTTTTTCATCCATGGTACAGTCAAAGCATTCTACATATATTATCTGATAGTGGTTCAGTCAGTATTTATTGAGCTGCTACTATATGCCAGCAGATCTCAGTCTTTTTAGAATAATACAGTGTATAGGTAATAAATCTCTGGTTAGGCATTGTATTTTTAATTTTTTTTTTAAGTTTGAGTGTGTTCTTTCTCTGAATGGCGAATCTGAAGCAGGATTATATGAGAAAAACTGAAAACCCTTCCTAACTTGAGTCTTCTACCCCTAGCATCTATCAGAAGAATCAGCTTTTAAGACTTAGCCATAGTTTTTGTGTTCTGTGTTATTCATAAGCCAGCACCAGAAAAAGAGGAATTAGTGGTATCACCATTGTATTTTCTGAGAAGCAACTACATTTGTTGCAGTTGTCCCAGGTGTATATTTGCTTTTGACCTATCAGTAAAATCAAGAGGAAAAGCTAATCTGCACAAATCCTGTGTGAATTTCAAATAGTGGACCACTTCCTACATAGAACTTTTTCCCAAGAATTTTTCTGTTGTCAGCATTTTAGTTGAATGTAGAGTGTTCTTGTCCATTTTTTGAAGGGTACAAAATCAAAAGTATAATTTCTTGGTGAAATCACTAGCATAATATAACACAGAATCAAAGCTAGTCTCTTATGAAGACTTCTAATGTGGTTCTCTTGACCTTACACATTTTGGTGGCCAGGTTTCGGTGGAACAGCATGTCTCGATTGGAGAAGGTCTATCTGAAGAACAGTGTCATGGAGCTGATTGCAAATGTAAGGAATGATTGGTTGGAACACTTGTGTTTCAGAGGTAGTTTAGACTAAGGGTAACTTCTTTAGCATTTATGTAAAAACTAGGTCTACATAGGTCAAACAGCACGCTCAACAGGGCAGAGAAGATGAAACATTTTCAGCAAATGAACAAGATTATTAGATCTAAACTAGATTGCACTTTGCTGTTTGTTTCCTTTTATTCCAAACCGAATTACTGTATGATTTTAACAATACAAAGTATGCAGTATGAATTAGTATCAGGAATTAGGATATGACTTTAAACATGCCTAAAATCCACAGCCTTTTTTCTTTTTTTTACAAATGGCATGAAAAGTTGAATTCCCACCTTTTCCTCTCCAAAGTTGAGTGACTTTAATAGAAAAAAATCCCCTTCAAAACTATTTATCAATTTAGGATTTGTATTTTGCTGGTTCTTGGGAAACTTGATAGAAATCCTAATTAATTAATCTCGCTATCAAACTCCAGAAGAACAACGTCCCAGGAATAGTTTTTTTGGTCTTATAATGCTAGAACTATTGGTAAAATATTTAGTTTTGCTTCCCAAACTCTCTTATCAGCTTCTTATTGTCCTCCTTTCTGTACTCTTCTACTTTGGCGCTCTTACAAAATGAAATAGTCTGAGAGTCTCTTCAGTTTGTAAAGGAAAACAATGATGTCTTCCTTGCTCTGTGTGACAGTCAATTTATGCCACCCTTACTTAAGCTTTAAGTGAGGAAAATAGTTAGTGAGAATGCAGGACAAGTGACTCAGACCTGGAGAGCAGGTTTGTTTACCCCGTTTAGTTTAAAAGCAAGCCTGCTGAGGAGTTGTGTACACTTTCACAGCACAGGGTTTTGGGTTTTTTAGGTTTCTTAAATTCAGTCTTGCAAACCTCTTACTATCTCTTATTCTTTTTCAGGGAACACTGAATATTTTGGAAGAAGAGAACCATATTAAGGATGTTTTGTCTCGAATTGTAGTAGAAATGATCAAGCGGGAGTGGCCACAGCACTGGCCTGATATGCTAATAGAACTGGACACCCTTTCCAAACAAGGGGTATGAAATATAACTATATTAGTTCCGTTTATTTTGGGGGGCTGTTCTGGAGTTTGTTTTGTCAACAGAAAAGAGCTTTTGGGCATACCTATAGTGAAAAAGAAGTTTCAGTTTAATTAGCTTATTTCTATTGATGCAGGAAACACAGACAGAGTTAGTGATGTTTATCCTTCTACGACTGGCAGAGGATGTAGTGACCTTTCAGACACTACCCCCTCAAAGAAGAAGGGATATCCAGCAAACATTAACCCAGAACATGGAAAAGATCTTCAGTTTTCTACTTAACACGCTTCAAGAAAATGTAAACAAGTACCGACAAGTGGTAAGGGCTACCCCACCTCCCAAAAGTTCTATTTTCTAATATGAGTGGTTTTGTTGTTTGTTTTTTTGAAGTTAAAATAATCTGTCAGCAAGGAATTAGGATGTCTAGTTCAGCAAAAGGAAACCATTTTATAAGCAAAAGAGAAACAGATGACAGGAAGAACTGGAACTAATTTTCCAAGAAACTCAGGTCAGTGAGTTCCCATGTTAAAAAAATAATCCTTTATAGTAAGAAACTTCTTAAAACAGTATAAAAATTGTTAATTTTTAATGTTTAAAGTATTTAAAACCCGGATTTCCGGTAGGTCAGAGTAGCATCCCTGTTAAATTTTGATGCCATATTTAGTCCTGGTCCCTTTTGCAGGAAATTGCCAGGTTTTATTTATCTTGACCACATGATTCTTGGTACAGATTTCCCCTGCTACCTGAAAGAAGAGCGTTCCCTTGAAATCTTTTGTAAGTCCAAATAGCATAGAATGAAGAAGAAATTACCATTAATTTATATGGAATAATTTCTGAACATTCCCACATCCAAAAAATAACCTCTCCTTAGCTTTTATGACACCTTAGGGACACATCTTGCTAACAGGCACACAAAATAAGTCAAGATAAAGCGCAGATGCTCCCAGACACAGTTCAAAGCTATGGCAGTTCCATGCTCAGATGCTGAGTGTAGTTCCTGGGAAAGGAACTTAGTGGTACCTCTGTAAGGTCTTGCTATAAAACAAATATTGAAAGCTATTTTCGCTTTTTGCCTTTCTTTAAAGTAAAAGCAGAAAATCCTCCTCGGATTTCTTTCAGTTAAAGAAAACAGCTACTAATGTGGGTCTTGTGAAAAATCAAAGTTTCATAACACAAACTTACAAAAAGTGGGAAATACCTGTATTTTATTCTTCCTGGGAAGGTATTCTGCAGAAGAGGGCAAGCCAGATACTGTGTTTCCAACCATTGTCATTTTTAACAGAGAGCTTTCAGAAGAAAGCCATGTGAAAATTAATCTAGTACAGTAGTTCTCAGCAAGGGACAGTTTTGTCCCACATGTTATCACAGCTGGGGGGTTGCTGCTGGCATCTAGTGGGTAGAGGCCAGGCATACTGCTAAACATTCTGTAACACACATAATTGTTCCTCTACAATAAAGAATTATCCAACCCAAATGCCAGTAGTATTGAGGTTGAAAAACCCTGATCTAAGGATGCCTGGGTGGCTCAGTCGGTTAAGCCATCCAACTCTTGATTTCAACTTAGGTCATGATCTCAGAGTCAGGAGATTGAGCCCCACATTGGGCGCCTCACTGAACGTGGAGCCTGCTTAGGATTCTCTGTCTCCCTATCCCTCTGCCCCTCTTACCCCACCTAAAAAATAAAAGAAAAAGAAAAACCCTGATCTAGAATTCTTATATGTGCTTATTCACAAAATAGGATTAATTAAAATTAGTTATTTTTTACACCCCTGGCAATTTTTTTTTTTTAAAGATTTTATTTATTTGACAGAGAGAGGGATCACAAGTAGGCAGAGTGGCAGGGAGAGGGAGAAGCAGGCTCCCTGCTAAGCAGAGAGCCCGATGTGGGGCTCAATCCCAGTACCCTGGGATCATGACCTGAGCCGAAGGCTGACGCTTAACCGACTGAGCCACCCAGGCGCCCCAGGCCCCTGGCAATTTTTAGAGAAGTATTAGATACTAACACAAATGATGGGAAGGTACTTTGAGCTGTTGGGGTGGGGAGAACTCAGAGTAAGTACCTAATATATGCCATATACTTGTTTGCACTTTGTGTGTTACTTAATCTTCAGAACAACCCTAAGAGTCAGAAAGTATAGTCTCCATTTTATGGATGAAGAAAACAAGGTCCAGAGAATAATTATTGAAGATCCCCTAGTAAATGGTTGTGGTGAACTTCAAGTCCCATTCTATAATGGCCTGTTTCCCCCAGAATATCTCCCCAAGATTTTTCAAAAGAAAATGTCAGGAAAATACTTGCACTTAAAAACTTAGGTGTATTGAGGGTGAAGGAGGTATTTTTTTTCCTTTTCACCTAGGAGATTTAATCTGTGGAAGAAGGGGGACAAATTATGACTCCTTAGATGCCCCAGCAGTCTAGCCAGCATGCCTGCACAGGGCTGATGAGTGATGGTCTGAGACATTAGAAACACATCTGCTGCAGTGTTTTTCTTTAGCCTCAGTTTCAGTTCCCTTCATCTGTTAAACCAGACTACCTCTTGTGTCCAAGACCAGAGCACACCAGGAGCTGTCTTGTGTACCTGGAACAACGTCTTTTGCTTGAGAGGTTGCATCCCTTCTTCCATTCCTTCTCTCCTTTCCTCCCTTCTCTCTTTCCATCTCAGCTTCTTACTCCCTTCCCTTCCCCTTCTCGCCTTCCATCCCTTCACCTTCCCAGTTGGGGTGGGGAGGGTAGGTTGAATGGTAAACGCGACAGGATGAGTAGGCTCGCTGTCCCTGTCCAGTGACCTGGGCCCTGGTCCAAGGGGACCTACAGGATTGGAGTGGGAGTGAAAAATTGTTGGAGAGGAAAGACTAGACTTGGCTCTTGTCACTTGGATTCCTTTTCCTTCTTGGACAGCATCAGTAGATGCTGGTGTGAGAGGGTTCTCCTCTCTGCCCATTAACACTTCTATTCCATCACTGATGATGAAGACTTAATACTTGTCCTTTATTAACAAACGTATTTTTTAAAAGTTGAGAAGAGAAATTGTAGAACAAATCCTTTATAGTCCTAATGGCAGTGAGTTTTTCAGGTGCTTCAAAAGTTGTTATTCCTGCTTCTGTTCCCCTTTACCTGTCTTCAGGAGTTATTCTTCATTTTAATTTCAGAAGTTTTTTTGGAAAATAATAGTTTTGTACATGTAAATTATAAGCATTGTGTAGTATTTATGTAATTTAAAGTATAAGGGTAGAAATCAGTTATAATTGTACATTTACTGAATGGACATTATTTTTATCTATTGAGCATGTGATATTTTTGTGTGTGTGATTTTCCTGTGTTATGTCCATACATATATGGTCATAAATTATGTTCATTCAACTTTGTCTCGCCTTTTTCCATTTATATTACATCATTTCAATATTCTTTTACTAGTTATAATTTGTCTTTATTTGAATATGAAAAAATGCCCATACTTTGTTTTGAATTACATTTCTTTGATCCCTAGCAGTGTGGAGCCTTATTTATTCATCTGTTGTATTTCTTTCTAAACAGTGTGCTTTGAAACTGTCTTTGTGGACTTAATGTTGTAACAAATTTGTGTAAGCTCTTTAGATACTAACTTTTTGTCATATTGCTAAAATTCAAATAACCTTTTCTTAGGGGAAATAGTAGCTAAATTTTCTTAATGCACTTGTATTCTTTTCCAAGGTTAAAAGTGGAGTCTGTATTTAAAATCATTATTCAAGGGACTTTATTAAGTGGGTGGAAAGTTACTTACATAGCCTTTTGCTCATTAAAAACATTGGATCCTTATACTTCTTTTCTTTCAGAAGACAGATAATTCTCAGGAGTCAAAGGTAAGAGCTCTTGTGGAGTTGGAAGGAGACTTCTTTGAGGCTTTCAGGTACAGAGATGCATATACCTAGTGGAGGGTAACCTCAGCCTTGGTTTAGATGATCACTGAGCAATGGTAGAAGGGAGTTAGAATTGCCGTATTTACAGTTTATCAGAGGAGATGAAATGGCTACATGCGCCAGTATGATCTCATTGACAGACACTGAGAATGCTGTTGTTTGAGAAGTTGTGCATCAAAAGAAGACCTTTGAGTGCTCTGTCTGGCTGTTACATGAGTATGTTTTTTTTTAAAAAATTGTTTTCTTTTTAGAATTAGAGAATAGGAGGAGCTAAGGTATAACCACAGCCTCTTTGTCTGTTAGTGAGGACTTAATGATTAAAAGTTATTTCTTTTCACGCAGGCCCAAGCAAACTGTCGAGTAGGAGTCGCAGCGCTGAATACTCTAGCAGGCTACATTGACTGGGTGTCCATGAGTCATATCACTGCTGAAAACTGTAAGCTTTTAGAGATGCTTTGCCTGCTTCTGAATGAACAGGAACTTCAGTTGGGAGCAGCTGAGTGTCTTCTCATTGCAGTCAGCAGAAAAGTAAGTTACCACTTCAAACTGACTTTTATCCTCAGAGTCTCTACGGGGTATGTATGTGTGTCTAATTGTACGTTGTGGCAGAAAGACATTGGAAAGTTTGGGATTTATTTTTACCTGACACCAATTTAATTATCTGCCTCCAACCTCTTTGGACTGTAGTTTGCCTGTATTCTAGGGATCCATTGGCAGCATATACAGAGATGTGTTGGACTACCTTATTTTTGAAATCTCTATGAATCTTGGCACTTCACACTGAAGAAACAAGATGAAAGTAATACTAAAATTTGGGACCCCTGGGTGGCTCAGTTGTTATGCATCTGCCTTTGGCTCAGGTCATGATCCCAGGGTCCTGGGATC